CCCCACCCCCGAACCTCGGAACCTCCCTGGCTGAAATCCTGGCGCCATCCCTAGTAAGAAAGAACATACAAGAGCTAGAATAATAATTGTTATTCGGGTTTAAATAATGTTATTTAGAAAGTGCATGATATGGACGTACAGTACGAATATGCTTAAAGTTTATACAACCAATATCAATTAATTTTAAAATATTATAACTATAATTGGGTGGGGGAAGGGGGACGCAATTTTCTGCTCTTGCCCCCGGGCGCCATAACCTCTAGCTACGTCACTGTTGTGGACTTTCAGATGCCGGGGAATAGCACTTTAATATTTAAAATTTATGTCGTTTATTTTTTAACATTTAAAAAGGGACACTTTATACTTTTTTCAACTTCTGAAAGGTTGGGGTGCTCAGGCACACTAAGCACCCCTCTTCCCCCCCCCCCCCACCTGTGATACGCCACTGTAGCAATATCTTCCTTTCCTCTCTTTATCGGGCACACCCGGCGGTTAATGATGAGCAAAGTTATAACTTTTTTTTATGACTGTTCTCCACAAATCTCTGTTTTCCATAAGTTGTGAAATTTACTGCCTCTGTGTGTTTAAATCCTTTTCTAATTGATCGATGTGTGTTGTCGGGCCGTCCTTTGCTCCATTTCCCATGGATTGGTTCTTCCCAAAAGAGAACCCGTGAAATAACTTCATTTCAGTGGCGTAGTTAGGTGCGAACGGGCCCCAGTGCAAGATTAATTGCCGGGCCCTTTGATATAGTGTAAAGCGTTAACCAAGGGCAGTAGACCTGGGTTGTGGCTAGTGGTGAAAGGGTGATGTGAGCTGTCAATTTCCCCTGGGATGTGTGAGGAGAATTCGTAAGAAATGCTTCATTTACCGCTTCCCATAATAGGTTAGGCTAGTAATACTAATGATAATCGGAACCTTCGTTAACTATTTCAAGAGGGGTCCAGTGGCGAATTCAGGTATGGCGGCAGCCGACCTGCCACCCCCCCCCCCACCACTCCCCCACAACTAAGTTTTTCAAAATAAAATAAAAAAATGAGAAAAAAAAAGAAAATTCTTCTCAAATTTTGAGTCTAAGAGTGCCATTTCCGGCCATCTAGAGGTGCCACAATCATATATTTTCTTACCTCAGCCCCAGCCATGGTGGAAGTCCCTCTCTGGGCCCCTTCTATTTCGAATTCCTGGATCCGTCACTGGGGTCTATACGATCTCAGCAGTTATCAGGATTGGTAGCGCGCAGAGGTTGACCGACGAGGGGCTCATTTGTTGTTATATTTTTACATACTTCATTAATACTTCCATTTTCACATGGCGAAAGAAATTTAATTTTCATCGCACAAAGATTTTTTTTAACACTGGTAGCATCAGGAGAGAAGTTTTTCCTTGATATCCTACTGTGGAAGCTGCTTATCTCCCTTGACTTATCACTTTACAACTGTTAAAAAATCACATGTTTAATTTTATTGCACGAAGACATACAATGCAGTGCAGTCCAATTTATCGTTTCCTTTATATATAAAAAGCTTCCATATTACATTATTTTAGAAACGATTTCTCAGATTATAATTATTAGTATATTTTTAATTAAAAAGGTTTCGTATTTTTATAATAGCAAACAGTAAATGTCTTGAGGCTTCGAAATTAGGTAAGGGTGGGAACGTGAAGACAGCAATTATTTTATTTACTTCACATCTAACAGCAAGTACATTCGCCACATACAAGATGCAGGATGCTTTTTAAACCAAGCCTCTTATTGAAAACTATGGAGTGGAGTTGTTTTTAGTCGTAAGCAAAGTGTCAGGAATTGAACCCAGGACATTGGGATTAGAAGGCAAGCATCTAAACCACTAAATTAATTTAATTTAGCTATTAATTGCTTTGTCACACATTACCATGGTGGCAGAACGTAGTATAATATTGTTGATGATTAATAATGATTAATTAAAATTAATTAATGCATAGGCCCAGGTTATTAAAATTGTATCCAAAATGTTTTTAATACGGATATTGTTGGTTATAGTATTTTGTTTAAACCCCCCCCCCCCCCCACACACACACTCTCCCGGCATTACACGCTATAGTTATAGGCCTACTGTACCCCAAGGTATTTTATTTGGTACTCGTCATATCATTGTATCCATCGTATAATGATTGTCAAGAGAAAAAAAAGTATCGTTGTAGTCATACCTTAGCTCAACTTGCATCAGGGTATGGTTGAATCTCAAAGTTTCCGACTAGTGTATGAAAATAGATTTAAGTTGTGTTTGAATAGCTACCAAATTTGATAGTAAACTTCTGTGCACTTTCACTTCGGTAAAGACATTAATATTCTCTTCAACAACGTTGCCGTTTTAACAGTAATGTAGGCCTATTGTTATTCATAAGGTTTACAGAGCATTGATAATTTAATGGCAAAAAAAGTAATTGTTCACGCAGACCTGTGAATCGCAACACTGTATGCCTACATGGAAATGCATGGTTCGACTATAGGCCTGTGCATCATAATGGGCCTCTTGTATTTAACATTGAGGTGAGCGCCGTGCCACTGCTGATAAAAGAAAAGTGTTCCCAATAAAGTGCAAAAATCTGAAATAATATTTGTGGAGATTAATTCGTTCGTAGACATACCAATACAAAAGGAATCATAGCATGACTTTTACACATACTCAAATAGAGTTAAATCGTAATTTAAATTCGTGCATTTAACGAAAGTCATTATGTATTCATGTAACTATGCTTAAACCTTAATAGCTTTAATAATGTCATTCGTAGTTTGAATATATTTATCTTCTGCCTGTATTAATATTTTCATTATACTTTGTTAATTTTGTATGTACGATTTTGTCTGTAAAGTAACGAGTTTCTGAAAGGACCAATAAATCTGAATATTAGAAAAACTCCGAATAACTTGAATTAAGAATAATAGTGGTAAAGAAAAAAAACCTTAGAAAGGTGAAAGGTAAACATACAATTATTGGTAATAAAAGTTTAAAATGGCGGCCATTTTCAAATTTCTGGCTACGCTCGGCCTTGCGCATGAAAACAAAATGTTGCACATAATTTTTACATTCAGTGTTCAACACTGAATGTAAAAATTATGTACAACACTGTTGTGTATTCTACAACATATCCAATTTAAAAAGAAAAATAGCACCAAAAAAAATGCAACCAACCAGAATTTCCTGGACTATTCCACAGGGAGAGTTATGACGTCCCAAATATTATCTCGTACGTACGAGACATTAAATCTTACGTACGAGATAGCATTCGTACGTACGAGAACATGGACCAAAATTATTGTATACGCTTCTGTTGTGATACAGGCTACTGATCTTCTTATAATTCTTTATATAAGTAAACGTATCTGCATGGGCGTCGATCAAAATATTTTGAAATATTGATCCAGGAGGCGAATGCCCAAGGAAAAATATAACAATGACATTGAAAAAACCTTACAGTGTTGACATAGTTAATCTTCGTTTTTTATGTTAAAAATATGTGTAATGCTATTTCTGTGAGTAAGCAAAGGATATTTAGCAACAAACCTAAAATTGTGTAGGCCACTGCATAACTGAATACGAATATGTCACAAGATACCGCTGTTTATTTTTCAACGTGTGTCTATGAACTTGGAAAAATTTCTAACTAACGGTGACTTTTGGATGAAAAGCTCAGATATTTCACCAGGGGGAATATAGAGGGAGCTCTCACTTTCTAAAGCTATTTTGAGAATTGGCGACATCATCGCTTGCGAGTATGTCATCTATAAACAGCTGTGTCATCGGTTGGTATGGGTTCACAGG